ATTTTTAATTAGACTAGTTTTCCAGCGTTCAGTTTTGTATCTTACTTCACCGAAGAGTTATTTGTGTTCTTTAATAAAAAAATTCTGTAGGTACTTATGGATTAAGTATTTTGTTAGATAGGAGAAATTCGTAGCTATTTTGAAATCCACGTTGTGGTCCGAAAAGTAATTACTAGAATCGGGTATAATTGAGGTAGAATTAGGAGGGACACCTATCTTGTAAGTCCAAACTATACAATTGTGCACGCAACCGATTTGTAAATGAAAGGGCTCTTAAGAGTATTGGGATACTCCTCAAATAAAATTTGTTTAATTATTGCTTTTATTTTTAATTCCAATGTTAAAAAAAACACATTTTGTGTAGTCTACGTACTCTTCCACTTCGTTACACAAGTTGCGTGATGTTGCTTGGAATTTTGCAGTGCAAGCTAGTGGGCACATCTTGTTATTATTTTTCATGGCCATTTTGGGATTTACACAACATTTGATGTGACCAATTATGGTTGGAAATTTTTAATGCAAAAGAGGACCAAAGTGTAGGACTGTAAAGTTATTTCTCCATAATGTCTTTCCATGAATTAATTGCGGACCAATGCAGTTATTGCTATGTATCTACTGTACACAACTATACCAGTAGAATTTAGAGAAGATGGAGTTTCATGTCTTTTATTTAACATGTTGTGAGACAGGATTAGACGAGATCATCTTTCAAATTATATATATATATATAAAAATGTTATATTGTTAGATGACACTCTATTATGAATGAATGTCTATATAATTAGAAAATACATTTATTTAATGATGAAGTACATGTTAAAATTGTTTGAATAGAAAATTGCGATATCAAATTAGAAAGTTTAGTCTAAATTTTGCAATTTTTTAAGATGAAATTGACACAAAATTAAAAATAACCTAACCAAAATCCCAAAAAAAAAGGAGAAAAAAGCCAAATTTATTAAGCTAACATTACAATCTTCCCTAATGAAAGATTGGAAACAAATTATGACCCAAAGTTCTGGCAAAAGTTGAAACACACTGCCTATCATGTAACTGATTCAAAATTTTGTCATTTGATGCATATTATTGAAATAAAAATTAAAAATAAAAAAATCTTGTATATATTTAGGCTTGTTATAGATGGAAACAAGTTTGCAAATGCAACATGGACCCATACACAACCAGCAAAAATACGTGATTTTAATTAATTAGACCTGAAAAGGAATGCCAATTGAATTAATATTATTATGAATTTATGATGCTACCACATCATGACATAATTTGTGTAATATGAACTCAATATTTGCCCGACATGTTAATAAATCAAGGGGTCAAATGAAATTAATGTTGTTTTTATTGTCAAGGGCCCAAAATTGTAAAGGCATTGGTTGGCTTCTTATATCATGTTGGCAAAAATGGTTCTTCTCATTTTCATATTGTTTTTCCTTTTTTCATTACATGGCAGCACTTAAACACATCAACAAAATGATGAAATTGCAACGAGAAATTTCAATACAAATATATTTTAATGAAATTCCAACGGAAATTCAAACAAAAATACTCTGTTGGAATGAGTTTTCCATTGGAATTCCCGTTGGATTTTGACGATTCAAATAATAAATTTTCCAACGGAGGTGGAAATAAAAATTCCAACGAAAATTGCATATTCAAACGAAAATTCCTACGATAAAGAATCGTTGGAAAAATAGCCGTTGAATCATCAAATTCCATCTAAAATTTCAAAGGAAAACTCATTCCAACGCAATATTTCGTTGGAATCATTCTAACGGAAATTATAACATTGGAATATCCGTTGAAATTTCCGTTAGAATATATTGCCGTAGGATTTCTCGTTGGAATATAACAAATTTTTTTGTAGTGAAAATTTATACAATTTTCTGGGTAGAGAAGTTAGAACGATCGACCCGTCATAATATGTGAACAAAAGGGCATATTTATGCTATAAAATATTATTCTCTTGTTTATGTGTTTTTAAAATATTACATTTTCTAAACAAAAAAGAAAAAGTATGACGGCCTCCCATTCCAAAAAAATATGTAGATAAATTTTACGATAAATATTCTATTAGGTCAGCCTAACCATTAGGTTGTAATATATTCCATTCAAGAAAAAAGGACTACCGTGTCCAAATAAATTGTAAACATATCTGAAAAAAAAGTTGTATGTATACAAAATTACAAATATATTTAATTTAGAAATTGTGAAAGTTTACTATATAGTGATTAATTGTTCTTAAAAAATGCCAACTCAGTGTGAATTTTATTTATTTATTTTCTTTTTATCTTATGACATAAAATTATATTTTAAGAATTTAACGTTATAGTAGACAAAAACTATGTACCGAAAAATTGAAATTATAAACTTTGGGCTAAAGCCCAAAAATAAAACCGAAGTTTGTGTTTCTTAATGGACTTAAACCCCAAAAGTGATCCAATCGATTCAATTGGGCTCCTATCATAAGTAAGTTCTATAATGAGAAACTTATATCCCCTACGATCACTTAACTTTTTTTATTTTATAAATATATATTTATCACTGTCTATATTTATTTGTAAACCTAATGTTTGAGAAATAATTGGTGTTTATATTTGGTTCCAATAACGATTCCACTATCTCTCTCTCTCAAACTTTCGGCCTCATTTTTTCGGTCTATTTCTTCCAGGCAACGTAAATCTCACAAGAGCGAGACATGAATCGGCAGCTAAGAGCATCTCCAATGGGCTTTCAATTGTAGAAATGTGGAAGAATTTTAATTAAAAACGTCTCCAACCCTTAATGTTTAGATGCTAATCATAATGACGTGGCTGGAGAGAGAGAATAAATTCTAGCACTCCTTCTACATTTAGAACTCTTGCTAGACATGATGACTCACAATTTTCCTCTCACTAACTTCTTTTATTTTTAATTAATAACAATAAATTAAAAACAGCTAGAGTGATAATATGAAGATAGAAGTGAACCATTGGAGACTCTTTATGGGTTTGAACTTTTATTTGTTGTAGGTGGATGAAACCTCTTCCATTTAATTGCCACATATACTGCAATTGATGGTCATGGTTGGAGATGCTCTAAGTACCACTCAATTTTCTCCCCTTTCTTTTCAGATTTTTTCTCAAATCGTAGACCGCCCACCCAAATCACCCTTTTGACGGCAGCGGTTGAGAAGGTCGTGACCGAATAAGAGCGCGACTAGAGTTATGGTGGGCGATGCTCAGTCGTACGACAGTAGTTGGATTCGGATCTGAGGACCAACTAGCGATTTGGCGGTGACGACCCCATACTGAGGGCGAGATAGTTGGCGAATTTTTTCTATCTCTCTCTTTCCTTATCTCCTCTTCCTCCCTATCTATTTTGTTAAATGCAAACTTGTATAATGATTTTTTTCATTGTTTTGGTTTTATTTTAGTTTATCCAATATATGTATGATTAATAATTGATGATGTTTCAGCTAACAATGTTTTAGCTTTTTTGAGAATTTTTTTCGTTTGATGTATTATGTTGTGGGATATGTTGCGTTTATATAGAGTATGTTTTTCAGTATATGTTTCCGTAAGCACAATCGACAGTATATGTTGCGTGTATAGGCAGTATATGTTCAATTTATGTTTTCGTTGCTCGTGCTTCGTGTGTTTCTCATCTGGCCCGTGCTTCATTTGTTTATCATATACTCTACATATACTAAAATAATTTATTAAAATAATGATTATGATCAGTGTATGATATGTATATGATAGGTTATATATTGAACAAAAATTGAAAATCACAATTGTGATTAAATAAAAATGCTATGTAAATAAAAAATTAGGTTATGTACTGGCTATAAACGCAATATATACTATTTATTAAAAAAACCTGAGAACTGAAAACCTACGATCTGCGCAATTTAAGGGAGGCAGTTACACTTTATTTGATAACTGAAAATTTCATAATTTGGAAGAGGCGGTTACACTTAATTTGGTAGCTGAAAATCCCATAATTTGTTGTATATTTATAATTAATTGACATGAAATTGGTAAAGATGCAATAAAGTTAGCTCCATGGTAAAATTATAATTTCTTCCGACTCATGTAGTATGAATAAAAAATCGCCTAATGAGAAAATTATATCCCCTCCGATCACTTAACGCTTTTTTTTTTTTAATTTTTTTGTAAATTTGTAACTGTCTAATTTATTTGTAAACCTACGAATGTTTGAGAAATAATTAGTCTTTATATTTAGTTTCCATAACGATCCCACTCTCTCTCTTTCTCTCTCAAACTTTCGGTCTCCCTTCTCTCTCTTTTTTTAGTCTCTTTCTATTTCTTTCAAGCAGTTTAAATCTCACAAGGGCGAGACATGAATCGGCGGTCAAGTATCACTCAATTTCTTCCCATAATTTGGGGGAGGCGATTACACTTAATTTGGTAATTGAAAATCCCATAATTTGGTGTATATTTATAATTAATTAGCATGAAATTGGTAAAAATGCAAATAAAGTTAGCCTCATGATAAAATTATAATTTTTTCTAAATCATGTGGTATAAATAAAGATTCGCTAGACATTATTGTTGTTGTTTATCCAACTTTTTATTTTTATTTTTCTAAACTTGCATGTTTAAAAAATTTATGGAACAAGTTCTTTTATTTCTTCCTTCCAATCTATTCCAGCGTTTACGCTTTCCATTGAAAAGTTGTTAAATTGTCTTTAGATGTACACAATTTTTCCAAATGTTCTTTCAAAATCAGATTTTGATATGTCAAATCTAGTTTCAGATGGTAAAAAATCGATTTTGTGAGGCATTTTCTAAACTTTGAATTAAAGTGGGATAGAACTTCAACTTTCAAAGATTCAACTTTCAGTCACTTTCTTATTATTTTTGTTTATTTTTAAAAAATATATTTGCTTCTATTTTTTTTTCTTTTTTTCTATGCTCCCTATATTTAATTTAAATTACCCTATTAGTGGTGAAATTCAATTTTAAATATCTAACTCATTTTATCCGGAGCAAAAAGGTCAAGTCAAAATAGTTATCAATGAAATAATTTCCCCTCATTTTTTCAGAAGTCCCCAAATGATTTTGTACGAAAGCCACCACTTTTAAGAGCGCGCGACAATCAAGAAAATTTTCAAGTGCCCTCAAATTGTTCCCGCACACGCGTGTTTTGGTTTCACTCTCTGTGGTAGATTCAGTGAAAAATCCCTTGCTATTGGAGCTGAAAAAGCTCTACAACAATGGCGGACGAAACCTCAACTCCCCCTAAAAGAGGATCCATAAAATCATCAGGCAACTAAACTCTATCTGTGTCTCTATCTGTCTTTCACTTTGTATGCAGCTGCGTGTCTGTAAATTTCAATCCGATTATCGTTTCGGATGTTTGTGGGATTGTGAAAGTGTGGATTAATTTGTTTATTACTCAATAGACTAGGAGCCATGTCGATTGATAATTTAATGCCTTCTCGTTTTTGAGCAATAATGGTAGAAGTAGAATGTAACCCTTTTTTGTTCTGTTCTTTTCTCATTGGTTTCTGTTGAGGTTGGTGTCTGAGGGAGGTGAGGTGTTGGCGGGATTGAGCTGTTTTCCGTTTTCTCTCTTTCAATCGATGTTATTCCATTAATTTGCTAGGTTGTTTCTAAAGTTGAATTAACTTAGCTATTCTCTATTCTAGTTTTTTAGTCATTATATTGAATTAGATTGTGTCTGCTGATAATTTTTAGTTGGAAGTGTTGCGGTTCAGAGGAGACGGGAAAATGCGGTTATGGTCGGGAAGGAAAGAAGGGACGCATTGGTGCGGACCAAGCGTTTGTGCAGAGTTGGAGTTACCAGTGAGAATAATGTCGATTTCCCTACTGTTGATGAAATGATGACGGATGAAGAACAATCAGTTCTCGAGGCTCAAACTCTGAAAGCCGTGCAAGAATTAAAGGACGTAATTGGATATCAGTATGGCAATTTGCACTTATTTCCTTTTTCCGAATTTGCTTTAGTTCTGAATTCGAGGAGCATCTGGAGTCAAAAGTACATGTAACATGCTAGTTGAATAAACTTATTCATTAGCTAAGGCTGCAATTGTTACTTTAGTATTAGCTAAGGCTGAATTTTTGCATTTATTTATTAGCTAAGCCTGCAATTATTACTTTAGTATCAACCAGAGTTTGCTATGGTTAAGTCTAACTTGTTGAGGTTAAAAATTCTGTGATTTCTGATACGATGTTTCGCTGTGAAAGTTCACTTATGTTGAATTTACTGCTCCCCAGGGGAAAAGGAGCTGTGCAGAAAAGAGTTAATGCTCTTCGTGAGTTAAGGCGGTTGTTGTCGAAATCTGAATATCCTCCAGTTGAAGCTGCCCTTGAGGCTGGAGCAATGCCTGCTCTTGTTCAATGTCTTTCATTCGGTTCACCAGATGAACAGGTTTTGGTTTGAGAGCGTGTAAAGTTTGTCTACTTCTGATCATATATCATTACATTTTCTTTGACATTATTTTATATCACTGTGTGCATAATTTTTAGTTACTCGAGGCAGCTTGGTGCCTGACAAATATAGCAGCTGGGAAGCCGGAAGAAACAAAAGCGTTGTTGCCTGCATTACCGTTACTCATTGCTCATATAGGAGGTTGGTGTTTTGTAGGTGCTATCTTCCATGGGTGTTAATTTGTGTATTTCTTGATTAACATCAGAAAAGCATTTGAGCTGGACTCAATGCATACTGATGGAATGAGCAATTGTTAATTATTCTATTTACCATTTTCTCTAATTAACAGGAAGAATTCAATGGTATCTAATATAGTTTGTCACTATTAGGATACCGTATACATGTGCATTTTTCTTTTAATCTCCCTCTCAAGATTTTCGAACAAAAAATGTATCTAAGTACATTATATCTAATTTCCATCCAAACCTAGGGCAAAAGGAGAACATAACAGAATAACCTAGGAAAACTAGCTTCAGCACCTCCCTCCCTCTCTCTCTCTCTCTCTCTCTCTCTCTCACACACACACACACACACAAGCATTGTGTTTGAGTGAAACTGTAGGTGCTTTCCCTATAATGCATATATGATTGTAAATTTTGCTGTCTCTATTAACATGATACTACTTTTTCAATAGTTATGGCTTCAAATTCAACCATTTTACAATAATTTCTGCCTTTAGCATTCAGAAATTTTCTACATGAGTATCCTTCATTATTTTTTATACTTCTGATGACGGTTTTTCAATATTTTAATAGAACTTTTACTGTGAATTTGCAGAAAAGAGCTCACTGCCTATTGCAGAGCAATGTGCATGGGCATTGGGAAACGTTGCTGGTGAAGGAGAAGAATTGAGAAGTGTTTTGCTATCGCAAGGAGCTTTACAACCTCTTGCGAGGATGATGCTACCAAACAAGGGTTCCACTGTGAGAACAGCTGCTTGGGCATTATCAAACTTAATTAAGGTGTTGGGAAAGCCCTTTTCATATTTTCCAGAGTCTCCTTGTTCTAAAGACCGAGTTCATTATTTCTGCGAGATGTGTAACATAGTATTATGGCTATATAGGGACCAAACCCAAAAGCTGCCACAGAGTTAATAAGAATTGATGGTGTTCTTGACGCGATTCTCCGGCACATGAAGAGAGGGTGAGTAAGAAGTTAATTTTCCTCATTCATTTAATTATATCTAGTGAAAATAGTATCTTAGGCTATAGTCTTGTTCTAGTCATTTCCTTTCTGTTGAATCGAATGATTCAGAATGCTGGTTCATTTACTTTACATTGTAACAGGGTAAATTCACTTCAAATTGCTTACACCACCTGCTTTCATATAAACCCACTTTGATTT